ACAGTTATAAACGATAAATGTCGCAGATGCCACATTCAATCAGAAACTATACAACACATAACAGGAGCATGCACAACACTGACACAAACTGACTACACTCACAGACACAACCAGGTAGCAAATATCATTCATCAAAAACTGGCGGTCAAACACAAACTCATACAAAACACAAACACTCCTTACTATAAATACACTCCACAAACTATTCTAGAAAATTCCACACACAAACTCTATTATGACCGCGCCATACTAACAGATAGGACCATCCAATATAATAGACCCGACATAACCCTACAGGATAAAATAAGAAAAATCACTTACCTTATAGATGTTGCAGTTCCTAACACCCACAACTTACAAAAAACAATAGCTGAAAAAGTAAGTAAATATACAGATCTTAAAGAAGAAGTAACTAGAATCTGGAGACAAGAAAAAGTTTTTGTAATACCTATAGTTCTCTCAACAACCGGTGTTATCCCCAATCATCTTCTCCGTAGCCTAAAATTAATTGATTTAGAAGATTCCCTATTCATAACTCTACAAAAAGCCGCTATTTTAAACACATGCAGAATCGTAAGGAAGTTCATGCAGTTAGATGAGAACACATCCTCAACATGAAAAATACACCACATTGCTGCATTCACTTGACTTTGGTCCGTGAATGTACGTAAAACCAGCAGAGCTGAGAAGATAAAACTTTTAAGATAATAATAAAAATATCTTTATTCACATAGACGCTTGCGCGTTCTTATGAAACGTCAAAATTTTACAAGAAATTAACACGTTCGTAAGGTACCACCGGTTCGGAAAGCAGTTTCTGTTGAGAAGAAACCGGCAAGAAACTCAACAGTTGCTCTTTTTAAAAAAATCAGTTTACAATATAATAGTACATGTACAATAGTCTTGTTTTAGCCTACGTGAGTATCAACAGTATTAACCCCACACATTGGCGTCGTCAAGATATTCGGCAATAGTATAATAGGCTTTAGCCATAAGTGTACTTTTAATTTTTCGTTTAAATTCATCAAGTGGCAGACTTAACATCGACTGTGGGATTTTATTATACATGCGCACACTTTGCCCCATGAACGATCTGTTTACTTTTTGTAGGCGAAATAATGGCGTAGTTAGTTTGTCCTTATTTCTAGTATTTAGTTTATGTCTGTCACTATTCTTTTGATAATTATTAATATTCTGTTTAACATACAAAATATTACAATAAATATATTGAGACGCAACAGTGAGTATATTAATCTCTTTAAAAAGATGTCTGAGTGTATTCCGGGCTCCGATGTTATAAATTGCTCGGACAGCTCTTTTTTGAATAATAAATATTGAATTTATATCAGATGCACTACCCCACAACAAAATGCCGTACGACAAGATGCTGTGAAAATAACTGTAGTAACAAGTCTGGCAGTGTCGATGTCTGATAGCTGCCTAACCTTCCTAATTGCAAAAACAGCGGAGCTTAACCTATTCGCAAGAGATGATAGATGGGGACTCCATTGGAGCTTTGAATCTACTGTGATTCCCAAGAATACAGCGGACTCAACAGGATTAAGGGTTACGCTATTCAATTTTAAGCTAAACTTTGCCTTCTTACGTTGGGAAGGGCAAAAAGAAGGCATTTAGTTTTTTTAGCATTTAACACCATATTATTAATGGTAAACCAGTGGAGGATACGCGAAAGTGCACTATTCACGTCGTCATAATTCGATACATTTCGGTCAACCTTAAAAATAAGCGATGTGTCGTCAGCAAACAGTACAACATCACATAACTCACTGGCATAAAAGGGGAGATCATTTATATATACTAAGAATAATAATGGGCCCAAGATCGATCCTTGTGGGACACCCATTTTCATGGGGGACCCTGCGGAATTTACATCATTTATAGATACTTTTTGAATTCTATTATTAAGATAAGAAGCAATGAGATTGAGGGCGATGTCACGAATGCCATAATAATCAAGCTTTAGAAGGAGGGTTTTGTGATCCACGCAGTCGAAAGCTTTTGAAAGGTCGCAAAAAACACCTATTGCATCTTGCGACCCTTCCCAGGCGTTATAAATATGTTTGACAAGTGCGATACCCGCATCTGTTGTCGATCTGCCTTTAGTGAATCCATATTGCTCATTGTGAAAAATTTTGTTCATATTAAAATGTACTAAGAGCTGATTTAAAAAAATCTGAAGCCACTTGAGTTTTTCGCGATGTTCGGAAACATGGTCATATTTTCATCTTTGTATACGTTTCATATTTGGAATATGAACCGTATACAAAGATTTTGAATGCGCTCAAGTCTATTAAGTAAGTCTTCATTAAGATTCAAATAGCATGAATCAGCATAGTCAAGAATCGGTAATAGGAGTGTTTGTGCAAGTGTAATTTTAATTGGTATGGGTAGGAAATTACCTAATCTACGGAGAGATCCGACCGACGCAAACAATCTCCTACTCACCTCGTTCACATGTGGGGCCCAAGATAAAAACTTAAAAGTAACACCGAGATTTTTAACGGTGTCACTGTAAGGCACGCAAGTCCCATCAATTAGGATGTTTGGTAAAGTAGACAAGTCAATACGAGTAACTAATGTTTGACTGCCTATTATTATAGCTTTCGCTTTTGATGGATTCAATTTCAGATCATACGACTTACTCCATTCCACAATTGAATCAAGATCTTTATTTAATAACTGAATCGTTTCGGGTAAGTCCAATATTTTTGCCTGAACATAAACTTGGATATCATCAGCACACAGGTGGTAGCGAGAAGATAATCGGAGCGTAATAGAACTAATTGATAATAAATAACGAAAATTGTAAAAAGAAGAGGAGACAGCACGCCACCTTGTGGTACACCGGCATTGATCGTTCGCCAGTTAGAGAACGAAACATCAATGCGCGTCCGTTGCCAGCGACCAAACAAGTAATAATTGTGAAACCAGTCAATCACTTCAGGAGATATGATAAGAGACTGTTAATAAGAGTATGTAGTTATTTACAAGAAAAGTACCTACATTTAATTATGTTTATCAGTTCAAAGTTGTGCTAAAATTGTGCTGTGTTAAAAGTTTTGCTTCGTTTGGGACTAGATAACGTTGTGTAAAATATGTTCTGAAATATTTATATTTATTGATTTAAAATATTTATATTACAGTACACAATAATACCTAATAGGTGTACTGAGCAATTTTTAATAAGAACATAAATAGCTATTTTTCACAAACAAAATAATTACACATGAAAAGTTCACTACCCCTTGCCCACAAAACATGCAATGCCGCTATAACTCGAAAATTGATGAAAAAACTTCTCAGGGAAATTAGAAGTTAAACCAGTCGTCATGGTGGATACCGCATTTATTGTTAATGTTTTCTAATCGCTCTCATTCGTTTTTTCTTAAGATAAAACAATTAAAAATAAGCATAATACTATTCCTAATTAAATATTTTATCTATTGTAAGGCACAATTGACAATATTGGCATTAGACATTTCGTAACAATGTGTTATTTTGGTACCATCAAAATTTAACGAGTTCTATCAGTTTAAAATTATAAAGATGTCTTTCTTAACGGAATATTTTGATGAATATCGCCAACATCCTATTAGAAAAACTAAAATGTAAGTAATGTGCACATATATTTTAAAATATATTATAAAATATTAAGGTTCACGGAAGAGCCCGTGCCATATGTCATTGTCTTATCGGTTGGGTTGGGTAGCATAAAAAGAGTTTCTATGTGAACGGTCTTTTCGAGTTGACGTTGAATAAATAAATAAATATTTAGGACACAATTTTATACAACGTTCTGTAGTCCCAAACTAAGCAACGCTTGTACCATGTGTACTAGATATTACAAACTTAAACATACTTTTCTTTTTGATATAAATACATGTGTAATACATGATTACATTCCTTCGAGCCTGTAACTACTACCATGTCTATTTCTTAGGGGTCCTTTCTTTCTACAAGGTCGAGTATCTGCGTACCCATAGACACCGGATCTCCGTAATGAGCACACGAATTAAAACCGAGCACCCGACACTGAGCTATCGCGGCTCTTGTGGCACGTATAACGAAACGATGAAATAATTTGCCAGTATCAGTTTTCTCGTCCGAGTGTAATCTCAGTGTCTTCTACGCTAGAGTGATTAGGGTTTCGACTGATTATTATAATTATGTTATTATTGTTACTGTACAGATGTCGCCCAGAAAACCGCTGGGCGAAACTTGACGGTAAATGGCTGGATCCGAAAGTTGGCACAGAAGATGTTAGTAACATTCACTTACGTTTCATTTTCATACATAACTATAACGCTTGTCTTCTAGCTGCATAACTTAGAATTATCTCAGATTGTACTTACTAATAATAGCGAACTTTTTCATGAAATAAGTTTTACGGTGGTAGGGCCATGCAATAGTGTTCGCTGTTGCACGAACGGGCAGGTCCGTCCGGGTCAGTACCACGACCTGACGGAAGACCGGCGTAAAGTAGAAGTGTTGTACATCTGCGTTTCGTCTGGTGAGTGAGGTAGCCGGGGTCCTCATTATTAAGAGGTGGCAACGCATCTGCAACCCTACGGGTGTTGCAAATGTCCATGGGTTATCACTTAACATCAGGTCAACCTCCAGCTCGTTTACCACTTTCTCACATAAAAAAAGTGTGTATGAAACTTACTTATTGATATTTGCGCTTTATGAGACCCATCCGGTGGCTTTATGTTTACCAGCCTTTACTCGCGACTTTGCCCACGTTGTAGAGTAATTATTATTTGCGATATTAAAATATCTAATGCCTTAATTCAATGCATGCGTTAAGTCAATTCCGATTTTCCTTCGATTGCATACAAACCTTTACATTTCCTTGGATTTTAATCATGTTTAACGAAGAAATAGAACGAGAAATAAGGAAACAAAACAATCTAGCGTCGTTCCCAATTTCGTAGAAAACTTGGACAGATGAGGAAATTGAGAACTTCATCAAAGTAACCATGAGAAGACTGCGCGGACAGTCGACGTATTACAACGACTATTGCGAACATCTGTCACCTGGTAAACGTTATTCGTCAATTGGAATTGAAATAGATTGCTAAAGATAAGTTGCGGCACCTGTAACTGTAGTAACAAAATCTGTCAGTATGTAGAATATAGAAACGAGCCGTTATAAAATTGATATTCTAGATCGTAGTGGTCGTTGGGACTTACCTTCCACACAAATCACAATGTGTTTGTCTATAATATGGACACAAATAGATGGAAGTTCGTATATTATTCGACAGAATTCAAGACGCGGCCGTTCAAGCCGCGCGTGAAGAAGCTGAGGCCGTGCCATGAAGTAGTGGAGACGAAAGAAGAAGACGAACCAGTCGTCCCTCATGCGCCGAAGTTGGCGATGAAGGACACGGAGCTGATGAAGGCCGCTAAGGAGATGTACGACGGGGGAAAGGACACACCGACACTAGAGCCCCTGCCCACCCACTTTCGAAGTTAGTGCGAACAAGCTGTTATGTAAATACGACCACCAGCGAGATGTTTTTTTTTTCAATTACACAGGGAGGCTTTTCTAAGTGTATCCATTTTTTAAATTAAATTCTAGACTAATAATGTCTTTTAAAATCACTCGTAATTAATTAATTACATTCATTTTTACTTATCTCGGAAAGTGCGTGATTTATGGGCAACTCATTTTACGCGCGATCGTTCATAACTAACACGCACACAAGTTCGTTTCAAAAGTATACGACGCATTTATGAATGATTACCGATGTCAACAAGTTCTGTTTTTAGGGATAGAATTGAAATTAAAAAAAAAGAGTTTGTTTTTATTTCAATAATCGATTATACTACCGAGTTTGAACCTCCTGTGTAAATTTGGGCACCTTTATAAAAGCCACCCTGTATACGTATCTATTTAGTTAGGAATATAGTATAGAGACAGCGAAATATAGTCCTATAATGTATGTACGTAATTGTAAAATTTAAGTTAGATTATGTCTTTGATGTTTTGCCTTGTATATGTGTTTCGTTATTAATAACACTTAAGTATTTGTAGTAAAACTTTTATTATTTATTATAGGGACAAGTGTGTTAAAGTAACATATTTTAGTCATTTAATGATCTCAAGTTATTTTTTATTAATACATATTGACAAATGTTAAATATAACTTTATCAGCTTATGATTCGTAATTGTATTGACGTAGCACTTTAATGTCGATTTTAATTCGAATGCCTTGTATTATCATTAATTCTCCGCATTACATTGTATTTACTAGTCTAGTAGTAAAGGTGATAGTGGGATCCGTTCTCCGTTCATAGTATACTAATTTAGTGTTTAAATATGTTGAAATTATATAATATATGTATGAAATTAAACTTGTCATTATTTTGAAGCAAAGGTACACCATGGAACAAATAACCACACCTGGAGAATTTTTCTGTAGCTAAACGACAAGAGTTCAAGAGTACTGGGCCTACAAAGTCATAGTTAATCTTTCTTCTTCCTTCTGTGATTCTCATGTTGTGCCGACCCTACATAGGTGGAGTAACGCCACCTTGGTAGGGTCGGCGCAACATTTGAATCATGTAGTTAATGGAATTGGCTTGGTTATTTACGACCAGCCGCCTGTTTGACGTCATCTCTCGTTGGAAATAACCGATCAGATACGGAACAACTGTCTGTGGGTCACACAAGTACTTGTCCCGTGCGAGAATCGAATCCACGATCATGATAATTTAACAACTGCGCCACTGAGTTATCGAAGCCATTATAAATATCAAATATCGTTTGGTATCGCATATTTCAACATCAGTTGCCGTATGATGAGGATGTTTCCTTATAAACAATTTAAAGCACACCGAATGTTTTGCGTTCAATGACGCTTGCTCCAAGCGAATTACGTCATTGTGTTCGGAAATGGTATAGTTTTTACATGTCTGTTTCGTAATCGTAATTGTATTAGCCGCTTTTAATAGCTTACACGCGTTATGATCGGAATGGTATTTTATGGGATTTAAAGTATTCTGTTAGTTAATCCAGTGTATTAGAATTTGTAGATTTCATGTAAAACTAACCAGCCAATGCGTCATGAATCGAGAAACACTTCCAGAGAAACCATTTTGACGTTTTGTTTTTTGATGTGACGTAGAGTGTGCTTACAGTTTCTGTAAAAATCGCATTGCAAACGTAAATTATGGTTAAATCAATTTAGGTTCGTTAAATAAAATATCAGATGTTAGAAATAACAATACACGGGCTACCTTTTAATTCAAATAAATACTTATTATTTAAGTCCAATCATTATTCCATAAAGATGATAGAAATATATCGGTTACCAGTGCCCAGTACTATGCATATCTATGCGTAAGCAAGCCGGCGGTTTACCCGATGTTAAGTGATACCGAAGATAGAGTCCGAGTCTCAACAGACGAAAGTATAATACTTCCACTTCACACCAGTCTTCTGTGAGGTCCTGGTACTTCCCTGGACGTCTAACAGCAGAAGCTGCGGTACCTTAAACCATAATTTACAGTCAACTACCCCTTACACGTTAGCTCCCTTCTTTTTATGAAATAAATTACGTAATACGATATTTACGTAAAATCGCAATTACGTAACCCTAACTGCTGCCGGAATGTAAGCGGCCGTCCATCACAATTCCAAAGTCCTCGGCTACGTGCGCCCGTGCTACTACAACACGGGGCTGACGGAGTACCAGGGCGGCATCGCGCGGCTGGCGTACGAGCTGGTGAGGGACGACCGTATACCGCGCTACCACGCGCACAACGGCTGCCGCCCCCGCTGGGGCCTCCCGCCCGAAGGCCAGCGCCAGCCGGAGCTGGACGTGGTGCCCTTCGAGGACCAGAGGCTGTACTGAACGCCTCGACGAATACGCGAATACTTTACAGAGTCTTAAAGAAGTGTGTGGAACTGATCGGCGTCGAATACACGAAACTGTGCACAGTGTTCACCAGTCTTTCATTTGCGGAATGAAGGCTAAACAACTCAACGTTCATGTTTATAAAGGAGCTTAAAAAGATTAATTGTTTGAAAGAAGCTTTTAAGGCACTGTATTAGTCAAAATAGCTAGTAAATTCCGCTACCACCACTCCCCATTATAAACCCCTAATATCTAAATACCCTCGAAATACAGCGCATTAAAGCTTCGAGACTGTTTAGTTGAGCACAGATAGTGCAATTGATGTTTCACAGAGCTTGTTTAATCTTATTTGCTTAGAGTCGGAGATTCTTGCATTGTGAACCACGATATGCTGAAATTGAGAAATCTAATCTACCACAGCTTTACAGTCAAATGCTACGTTTACTTGTTTGCTCCATCTTTTTACGAAATAAATCTCGTAAATCCTTACTAATATTATAAACGTGAGAGTTTGTATGTATGGATGGAGGTTTGTTACATTTTCACGCAAATACTACTGAATGGATTTTATTGAAACTACAATAATACAGCATCAGTATAACACATAGGCTATTTATATACATATTTTTATGTATATCTGTGTCTTTCACTCTGAATGTTACGCCTTCAGCCTATTCTACGCAGACGTAGTAGTAATACGATAATTACGTAAGTAACGTGAATTAATATCACTTTTTTTATGCGAAAAATTGAAAAGCGAGCGGGCTTTTCACCTAATGATGAGTACCGCCGCCGATGGACATTGAGCAACACATCGCCCCGGGATTGTTGATGTGGCCTTTTAAAAAGTGGTCCATGGCTACCTCACACCCCAGACGAAACTCGAAATTATGTTAATTCTACTTCACGCCATTCTTCTGTGAGGCCGTTGTAGTTCCCTGGACGACCCTTTTTTACGTGGGAAAAATCCTTTATGGATCCCCAGTCATCGGGTGGGGGAGGGGCAGGGGTATGTGGGAGTCCCAGTCAGAAACGGGTACCCACTAGAAACCCACGTTGCACCTGTCTCGGTCGTATCAGCCAGGGACACGAGAACACGAAGATGCAATCTTCTGTGACCCCGGCACGACTATGACCTTCCTAGGCCTCATCTTCACGGGTGCTACGCCACCCAGTCCGGCTAAATTGTGCTGTGCCGGTGCAACTAGCACAGCACCCTTCACGAGCCCATGTGAACAGCAGCCACCCCCATGCCTGCCACTCGGGGTCTCCGGATGACCCTGCCCATTCGTGCAATAGCAGAAGGTGCTGCTTGGCCCTACAACAGAGAGCTAATGAATAAAACGAAACGGTAAATCCCTGCTACACTAATTAGGATCTCAAGCCGGGACTGCAGAATTCGACGTCACAGTCCATAATTAATGCGCATGACGCATCAAGACATTGGTTCAAACACGGACAAATTATTGTCATCACTAATTAGCTGAGTCAAACGTTAGCACAAACAGACGATTCCAATTCACCGGACAAAAGACCGTAAACAGACGGAACGTCTGTCCGTCCACCGCGCGAAAGGGGCCACGAACAGACCCGCCGATTGTGATGAGCACAAAGGCGCAGCCCCTCAAAAAAGGGGGCCGCCGCGAAATGCAGTTGGCCGGACGCCAGGCACAGTTGCCCGACGCGACGGACCCTCGGCCCTTTGTTGTCCGCTTGCGATAGTGATGTGACTCAACAAATTTATAATATCGACAAAAACAAGTTTAAACAATTACCAATTTTACTAACAAATATAAACAATACCGTCTTCAAATATTTCGCTTTGTATTTATTTTATATTAATTGATTTTCAGGTGTTCCTATCTCAGGAGCCTAGATCCAATACCAATGAAATTAATATGTATGCCTCAGTAGAAGACAGTATTAGATGAAAAGATCAAATTGAATAGGATTAGTCAAAATGCATTTCGTAATAATATCGTGACAGTTCTGGGCCTGAACGGTTGTTTATAATTTAAATATACTCGAACAAAGTAATTAATAAGGGTATTATGTGCTACCTCTTTAACGAGTCTATCGCGATGCTAAAATAAATGTGAAATTTAAATACTTGATTTTTAAATAATTTGTTATTCAAATTTCAATTCAACTTCAATCATTAATTTCGTTCATAAATCAGTTACGTCATATATCTCAATGATTAAAAATTTCAATACGTATAAATTGGTTTGAAACCGTGTAAGTTAATCGTAGTTTAATTTTAAATGGTTATTTAAAAAGTCATCTTATAATTCTTTCGAAGCATCATCACCGCATTAAATGTTTTCTATCGACATCGATAACCTGATTACCTTTCGGCTTTATTTACGACGCGATGATTCGAGTTTGCCGAGTATGTCGAATTTCCGCGAAATTCACTATTCAATTGCTAAATTTCTCCGTATTTCCACTGATCTCGATTTTGTATAAATATATGTGATTCGCCCGCGGCTTCACATACGTTAAAGCCCTTATAAATATCTATCCGCTTTAAGAACCCGTTATAACCCTTTTTCCAATTATAAAATAGCCTATGTCCTTTCTCAGGCTCTAGACTATCTGTGTACCAAATTTCATTTAAATCGGTTCAGTAGTTTTGGCGTGAAAGCTAGACAGACAGACAGAGTTACTTTCGCGTTTATAATATTAGTATGGATTATCTTTTTTTCTAGACATAATACTTTGCAGCATTCATGGTCGAGCCGTGACAGCTCATAGTCCGGGCGCTCACTTTTAATTCAAAATATTCGAGCAACCTGAGTTCGATCCCCGGTGCTGACACCAATGAAATTGTTAATTTTAAGTGCTGACACATCGTGTGCTCGGCGGTTACGGAAAATATCGTGAAACCTGCATGGTTTGAAAATGATAAAATTATATTAAATATTTCGAAGATATGTAAAGTCCGCCAATCCACAGTGGGGTCGCGGGGTGGACTATACACACTGTGCAGAGTAGGCTTTTCCGCAGCAGTGGTACATGTTTAGGATGTTAATTTTCTTTATTCGTGGTCACAGATGATATACGGGTAATAAATCCGTGTGAATACAGAAGTAGTAATAAACGGGACTATTCCGTGAAAATCGTGTCATTCTTTTCGATTGCCGGTAGCCGAACATTTTGATATTTATGAGCAACGTGTTATGAATTTATATAGAACATGTTAAAGAACATTGCAGGTACCTTAAGCTATAAGAAGTTACTTTCAATGTTGTTATTTTTTTCTCCCATCAGAAAACAATAGGTTCACCTATTGTTTTTTATGTGAAATTAAGTAAGCGGACATCTAAGAAACTATGATAGTGATGTGTTTACATCACTTAACAGACGAAACGCGAAAATACTATTATTAGTTTTGTGTTTTCATTTCGTGTCGCTCTTCTCTGGCCTTAGACCGTTGGTTCTTCCCCACGAGGTTGCCCATTCATACAACAGTAGAAGCTGATGCGTTACCTACCACCGATAAAATGCTCAGATCGATTATTGACTATATAGGTCCAACGTCTCTACGTGATTGTACGTCGCATTATATTTGTTTACCACGAATTAATTCCACATACATTGATAACAATTAATAGTAAACGTTTATTGTATCATTTTCACTGGAGTTGTTAAAATTATAAAATGATCAAATTGGCTGTATTTTGGCACCAAAATATATGTTTTCAAAGTTTTTTTGTACTGCAGTTGAGCCTTTCTAAATTTATTTTGAATTATTTGCGATGTTTTTAAGAGGTGAGAGAGATGAGTTGACAAAGAAGTAATGTACTCACCTATTTGTATGTGATTAACTTCGACCGTGAACATTTTCAGGACCACAAAATTGGAAAAGATTTCAAACTTTAGTGTTTTTTTTTTAAATTTTATCTATTCTCCAGGTTTAGGGAACACAAAAGCATTTTGATGCTTTCTGGCTCTACGATATAAACGAAATATTCACTATTATTTCATGGAATAGTTAATGATGAAATATTTATATGATTTTTAGTTTTATAATTTACGATGTGTGAAGTAACAGCCTATACATGTCCCACAGCTGGGCAAAGGCCTCCTCTATAGAGAGGGTATTAGGGCATAGTCCACCACGCGGCCCCACTGCGTATTGGCGGACTTCACATATCTTCGAAATATATATTTTTTGTTATTATTTCGAAAATATGCAGGTTTCCTCATGATGTTTTCCTTCACCGCGGAGCACGTGATAAGTCAGCACTTAAAGTTAAAAACTTCATTGGTGCCGGCACCGGGGATCGAACTCAGGTTGCTCGAGTATATTGAACTAAAGGCGAGCGCCCGGACACTGAGCTATCACGGCTCTAAGATGTATATTTACGATTTGTATTATTTATAATTTGTCTGTATATCCTAGTGCTAGGCAAAGATTTCCTCTTATCCGACCAGCTTTATCTTGTGTTTGCTTGGTGTGCTCTGGGCTATTCATTATTAACGTGGTGATTTATTTAAAAAAAAAAAACGTTTATTGAACTACATGTTAACATGTAGTTCAATCAACAAGTCAATTCTCATATCAAATACAAAAGCCCATCCGATAAATATGCAACGGGCCACAAACGTCTCCGCCACTGATAAATTCAACCATTATTAGTCACTTAGGTAAACACATTCTCAAGTGCAAATTCGCTCCCTTTCTCGTCGACTCCATGCCGATTCTATTTTTAGCGTTTTGAACATATTGAGCTTGTTTATAATCTGTGGCTACTTCTGACGTCAATGCGGCACTGCCAACGACCCTACGCTGCAATGAATCAAATCGGCCGCAACCAACGTTTTGATACAAGTCGAGAAGACGGATTGTTTCTTGTTAAATGGCATTAAAGCGTTACTCAGACGTTTTTATCGTAATGAGGCTGAAGCTGAAAGCTGAAGAGGGAGCTCGTTCAATTTGAATTATCGTTAGATGAACATAACGCACACATTGATGTCAGCTTGTTATT